ATATGAGTTGTGTGCTTTGATTTGTAGAACAAACAAAAGTTTAAGTGGTCCGCTGTGACCCTCAGCAATTTTCGAACGGTATACGAAAAAAAAGTTTGAGAACCACCGATCTATACCTATCAGTTGTGGTGGACGTACTGTATTTTTCAATAGGTTTTTTTTTTTGGTCTTTGAGTTGGAGTGTGCTTGCAACAACTCACCAGGGGCTGGACATGTTGCAGCTCTTTGGTTAATGCTGACTGCTCAGGGAGCCCATTAGCCAGTCAGAATGAGCACTGACTTAGGTTGCATTTCTTCTATTCGCAAGCCTTTAGACTGCTTCATACTGGAGTACAGAAACACAGCCCCCTCTGCTATTGCAGAGTGCAACAAGACACATTTATGCCAGCATCAAGGTGGAACAGACAGACAACATCCCACTCTGCAGCAATGTAAGTTACCCTCCTGCAGGACATGGTTATCCAGGAGAAAGTCAGAAGTAACCATATGTAGGTAAGTAACACCAGGGTCACACCCTGGCACTAGTCAAGTTCAGCCCAGGGCAACCCTTTGCACAAGGCAAGAGGTAACCAGCTTTACCAGTGATCATTGTTCCCTGCCACCTAGTGGCAAGGGATTGTTAATAGAGCCTGCTGCACACAACAGTTACTGTCTATTTTTATTCTCTACCAAGATACTCAACCCAAGACCAAAAGGAAAATCAGAGAAAAATATGCAGGAAGTGACAAGTCACTTCTGACAGGGCTGGTAGGGAGAGGAAGGAAAAGAATTTCATATCAGTTATCACCCACGGATACATCTTACTGCTTCTCATCTAAACACTTTTTGAATTACAATTAACAGAGAGTGGCAGCTGAACTGGGAGACTTGTTCACAAACTGATGCTTTAAGAATAAATTGTAGCCACTTTGGCCCCTAGAGCAGATCTTCAAGCCAGCCTCTTCTCCAGCCTGGTTTGTCAACTTGCTATCTGGTGGCGGCACGATGCAGGCACATGTGCTGGTTGCTGTGGAAAGTGCTTTCTTGGTAGGCAAAGACCCAGTTCTCTCTTACCTCTCTGTAACAGCCTCTGGGCCTGTGAGAGATCTGAGCACTCAAAAGCCATAGAAGCTGCAATCAATATAATCACCAGCCCACTACAAGGGGTGTTGCTCCACTCACAGACACGCGCCTAGAGGACAGACTGATCATAGCAGCAACAGAGAAGAAAACTGAGAGAAACAACATCATCAGCCAGATCACTAGAAGCACCACTCTGGCTGCTGTTGCCAAAGCAGAAACATCTGTCCCCAGTGATGCAGGCTAAGAAATGGACAGAAGGGCTGGCTGCAATCAAGCCAAGACTGGATGAGAATGTGCTGCAGAGCTGGCATGGACTGGCAGTGAAAGCCATGGCTAACCAGCCAGCAGCTGCTCAGACGCTTGTGAGAAATGATTGAATGCTTGGTTGTTCTTGTCCCACGAACAGCACAAGTAGAGAAGCTGCTGATGTCACGGGCCCAGAGACTGAAATGGCTTGTCATATTTGGCTCAGAGTCAGATGCCTGGGATCAGTGGTAGAAATGGGAAACAGCTGCTATTCTTTAGAGGAAGTCAGAGCTGACCCACCAGGACTGCTGAGCCAGCCCCCATCCTTACTGCATCCACCTATGAGACCCTTCAAGAATTCAAGACCTGAGTTTCAGAAGTGCTGAGTGTGCCCAAGTCCAGTGGCCGGCAGTAGAAGCAACAGGTGTTTAGTGCTTCTGCCAAGAAAGCTCCTTATTCCATGCCATCCACGGGGCCCCTGTTTCTCATCTACTTTCTGATTTGGAGACTAGATAGAAATGAACTGTATTTCAGACATAAAAGAAAGGACCAGTTGTACATGTTGCTGACTACCTAAAAGTCTTTAATGACAAAAGGAGGGTTAGATGTGCAGGAACAAGGAGACTCGTGGATCATCCTCCTGCAGACAAGTGTTACTAACTCCCAGGAGCAGCACACTTGCTAGCACCTCCCTGTGACCACATCACAGTGGACTTCTTGGCAGGATCAGAGGTCAGGACCCCCTGCTGCAATGGAACGTGAGACAGGACAAAGGCACTTTTCACAGCTGAATAGCAGGGAGATTCTCTCTTCCTCTCCACAGAGGGAATTTGACATCTGGCCTTCCCCTGGGTGCTCTATATGCTTCACCATCCTTATTTACTGTTCTGGGAAAGGGAATATTTAGGGCTTTACAACTGCTCTCAGCTGCTGCAGAAGATACTAACACCTCCCCCCACTCCTCGCCTAGAAAAACATCCAAGAGGTCCCTTTTTCCCCCTTTATAAGAGAACAAAGCCCCAGCTTTAAATTTTCTGATGCTCCAAACAGTTCTTTTCCATGGGTGAATTTTAGCATAACCCCACCAACACCTTTATTGTGTTATCTCCACCATTGATTCCTTCTTCCCCTACCCTCGTGTTGACAGCCACTGATGTACCATGTAAGGGGTTGGAAATTTTCTGCAGTTTTATACTGTGTAGTAGCCCATGTACCTCAGCAGGGGGTGCTATGGAAGCTGTGTGCTCCACAGCAAATATAAAAACCTTGCATGCTGACAATTATTAACAGATGCAACATGAACCCTTTTAATCCCCTTTTGCTTTTCCTAGGGTCAAATCATACTATTCTGTTTCTTGTAAAACTGGGCAATTATCCCTTAAGTGCATACTGGGGCTGTGCCAGGCCACGAAATGCTGGAGCTGACCATTCAAAAGAAAGGTGGCAGCAGGGAGGGAAGGGGCTGAGTATCCTGTTTGCAATAGCCATCAATCAACCCCCTTCTTCTTCATGCCCCACAGCAACATGCAGAGAAATGACTAGAGCTGTGCAAGAAGCAAAATGTCCTTCCAGTCAAAAATCTTGCCTTTCCAATAACGTACCTGTTCCACAGCAGACCAAAAATCAGAAATGCCAAAGTTTCCATGGCAAACAGCCAAGAAGCAGGAAAAGTAGCCGAGTGGCCCAGGGACTCAGCTTCCTGGTTCCCTGGCTAGCTCACCAGCCAGGCTTTCTGTCAAGTAGATGGGGCAGGTGGGGATCCCAGTGAAATCAGCACCTAACAGGGATGGCAGCAGCTCATGGATCCAACTGGGGAAGGGGTGGGAGATGGGACACAGCTTGGAACCTGGTGAACTGGCTGTCCAGCCACTTGCTGTGGCTTATTTTTAACAGTTTAGCAAATACAACACATTTCTATGAATTTGGATTCCATTAACCAGCATTTTCCAGTGGAAACCCTTGGCAAAATGACTGCTCAGCTCTAGAAATAATGGAGTAAGGAGGGCAGCTGGTAAGAGCAGACATTAGGAAGATCCCACTACTTCCATAGGGAGAAATGTTCCCTTGCTTACTTGTGCTCTGCAGAGGTCTCGTAGGCAAAAAGTTACTGTCAGGCACCTTTGACTCCATTTTCCTCCCGCAGTATGCACTTGTAGGCTGTTCTCCTGAGAGCTCAGCAGCCCACTGCTGTGCACCTTCTGCTGCTGGGCAGATCCTAGCAGGTGAAGAAGCAGTTAAAGACAACGCAGCTCAGACTGCAAATTACTTCTGCTTAAAAGGACCTGAAATCAGCAGGCTGATTAACTTTCCAATACTGAGCAAGAAAATGTGGTAAACTGCTGCCCTACATGAAATATCTGAGAGCTAGGGCGCAGCCTGGGAGATTTAGGCCTTTTGTAGAGGATTAAGAGCTCTGATTCTGACTTGCTGAGGAAATGAGAACAGACCATCATCTCCTGGAATATGGGTATTCTGTCAGCTTCACAACAAGGGCGAAGATAAATGGAAAGGTCTCCTGAAAACTTGAAAAGGCTTTTATGCTTCTAATAGATGAAACCATGAAAAGCTTCACAAGGAGGTGGGAAGGAGGGGAGTCCCAAATGTTACATGAAGGATTCAGATAGTATCTGGGGCAGATCATGACTGGAGACTTAGCACGCTGGTGACAGAATACCCAATGAGGGGACATGAAAAGCAAGGATGTTTTTGGTGATACCACATTGAACAACTGTATAGCACTTGTTTCAATAAAAGATCATCATACACAAGCACCCCCCACCCACCCTTTGCTTCTTGTAACCTTAACAAGGCAGGTCTTCAGCTAGTGTAACTCTATTGGCTTGCACCAATTTACAGTAAAGATTTGGCCCTATCTTTATTTTCTAATCACCAATTTAGGTTTTTTGACATTTCAGATAAAGGAAGCCTGAAGTTGGCATCAATAAGAACAGGCCTGAATAACCTGACATAAAGCTTGTCCCCCTCTTACTTGTTTGACTCCCCCTCACGCTCACTGTCAGACTGAAAACAGGAATTTCAGTACTCACAATATATTTCTCATCTGAGACCTCCCAGCAAGAGTAGCCCAGGCTGAACTTAAGGTTCTAAATATTTTTGCAGTAAAAGGAAAAAGCAACTGAGCTTCTCTTCTCTTCACTTCCAAACCTTTGTGGGTTTTACTATACCAATAAAAAGGCCTGAGCTCAATTAAAAAGCCCTTCCTAACTCCCTGTTTGTAAAGCAGCCACCCACAGATAAGATCCCACACAACTGCTGGTACTTCAACATGTAGACAGCCATTAAATTAGTGGCAGACTACCAGAAGCTACATTTCACTATCCCACTCCCATATTATGGTTTTAAGTGATTGATTTACTCAAGAATAATGGAGCAGCATGGTAGGTATTTAGCCTAGATAATGAGGTCTGGATTCAGCAAGATATTTGAGCACACAAGCAGTCCCACTGACAAGCATTCACTGTTCCTGCCAATCCTAAAACAATATAAAAGCTCCATCGTTCCCTCACACTGAACTGAAGGTACAGGAAATAGGTGGTTAATGAGGATTATTTATACCTCAGTATACTCACAAAGCTGCATTGTGACTTATAACTTGTACATTATAAATCTGCAGTCATTAATTCCCAGTCTTGAGAGCTCTTGGCTCTGGGAGACAGACTCCAAACCTGTTTCAGGGGTCAATACACGGAGACAGCACTTTCAGCAGTGATTTCATTTTCCTCCAATATGAAGCTTAGCATTTCAGAGCTGCATCTCCTCATGCAAGCAGTTGTTTTCAAAGCAGCTTCTGTCAATTCCAAATGATTTCTAATCAGCAATGTTTGTGCAGGCAAGTGGAGTACAAGCAGAATTTTAGCTGGCAGATGAGACTTGCATTAATAAAGCATCCTGTACTTCACACTCAACTGGTGCACAGATTTCTCTGCAAAACTGACTTCATGCATAATTGATCTTGCGTTTATCAAGCTGCAAAATATTGTCTGCTTTTTAAAATTTTCTCAGGATACTCCACCACTCTGTGCTATGGGCTACATGAAACTCCAAAAACTCCTATCTTTGTCTTTGTACTAGTTACGGTAGTAATGAACACATTATAAAGTTAAAAAGCAAAAAAGCAATGTGGGTATTATCCCTAGTCAGGGATATTCTTGAACATAAAAAAGAAAATTCACATATTAACTGCAAAAGAAATTGAGACCAAAGAGTCACGAAATCCAAACTTTTTTAAAGAAGCAATTGTGTGTTTAATTCGGAATGGCTCCTACCCCCATACACATCCCATCCTACCGGGGAAATACTCCAAAAATGATTGCACTAAACCATGTCTGAAACTGGTGAAAGCCAGAGCAAGGCTGTCCAATGAGCAGCCTGCTAGGGTTAATTTGTGGACCCTAGGCTCCTACTTGGCCACTGCTATGGTCTCCTGGCTCCCTCTCCCTCCTTCCCCTTGCAACGGGTAGTGTTCTACCGCACAGCCCACGGTGCCAGGAGGATCTGCAGTCCCCATGAGACACACGCTTGACATGGTGCAGCAGGTAAGCCTGGACACATTGCTGAGCATGAAGATAAGAGTGCCCTGTCCTTGATGCAGCTGGGTGGGAGGGGAGGATCCTGCAAAGCATATGGAAGGGGCAGTGGGCTATGGTGGTGGGGCCTGCAGCCCTGGCATAGAGTTAGCTTCAGCTAAGTTTCCCTCTCCCCCAGGCATGAACTATGTTTTTTACATTAACGTGGTACTTGTACCTTAAATCCAGCCTAAATCACAGTTCTCATTTAGAGTCAGCTTCAAAGAATCAATTTCAAAAAACATTAGAATTTTTCCCACTATGTCAGTAGCCTGTCACTAGAGCTTTGTTCAAGACATTAGCCTCACCACTGACAATCATTTAACTTTAAAAACACCTCTAAGTACAGCTGAGCAGGGATTTTTTGCCAGAATGTGTATTAGAGAAAACCAAACTGTTCTTGACAAAAAGATCAGTTGCAATGAATTTATTTAAAAAAAAAGGTTTCAGAAAACCCATTGAACTGGGACGCTTAGATGTTTTGCTACAGGAAGTTGAATCATCTGGAAGGAAACTACTTTTGTGCAAAGTTTCAATTAATTGTGAGTGAAAAGAAAGGAAGCAGCAGTCAAAACAGGGTTTGAAAATTTGGGTGTTTTGACTGACTAGATCTGAAGTCTTTAGATCTTCATTTTGGGATACAAAAATCTTGCAAAAGCTCAAAAAACACTCACAGGACAAAGTATGTTTCTTCCCTAGCTGCATCTCAAACCTTCTAATTCTTAACATGACAGCAGCTGTAACTCGCGCAGTCTGAACCAGCAATGACTTGCAAGCCCCAGAGTTCCCTGCAGCTCAGGCTGAGCCAGGGCAATTACTTTGGGCAGAGGGCCGTTTACTGAGTTTTGGTGAGCTGTTGAGGGCTGCATGGGTAGCCCTGCCCCTTGATAGGTGTCTGCCCCCTAGCCCCTGACCTTTGCCACCAGAAGTCCCCCCTTTATCCCCAGAATTACTCCTTTCAGCAAGGAGTTTTGCCATCTTGGAACCAGAAAAATACCAGTATATTCTAAAAAGCAAACATCTACAACTTTCATTAATTTGATTTCAAACAATACTTTTGTTTTGGTTTACATGTGCGTGTGTAGTGTACATACAGGTGATTGCACAATAGCTTAAAATGAAGTCTTACTCTTGTATGTTGTGGGGGCGGTTATAGGTTTGTGGGGACTGTGGGTATGTGGGGAAAGGGAACATGTGGGGGGATGTATATGTGGGGTGTGGGTGGGTATGGGGTATGTGGGAGGGTGACTGGGGTTTGTGTATGGCAGTGCAAGGGGTCACGTGTATGGTGGGGTGTGTGACTCACCCTATGAACACACACACACACTTTCTCTACCCCCACCCCTGCATATGCATACACACGCTCCCCAAGCCTGTGCATGCACACACACACCCCTTCCCCCCTGTACCAGCACGGTCCCATGCTCTGCAGTCCAGTGATGCAGCCAGGAGCCATGAGGTGCTGGAGCAGGGCAAGGGCAGGAAAGCAGGGAACTGGCTGGGGGTGGGTGGGGCAGGGCTGAGTTGCTCAAGCCTGCAAGCCTGCTGAGGGCTCCCTCTGGGTCCTAATGCCCCTGACTCCTGTCAGCTTTGCCAGGCAGCTGGGAACAAATATTAATTTAGTAAATTTTTTTAAGGGCCCTGTGGGCTGGATAGAATGACCTGGCAGGCCACATCTGACCCCTGGGCCATATTTTGCCCACCCCTGCTGCCTTTCCCCTTCATGTTATAAGCAATTTCTGGTTTTTTGTTTTAATATTTTGCCTGGGGAAGCTAATGATCTGGATCAAAGCAACTTCAACAACAACAACAAAGCAGCAGGAGCCAAAAACAACTAAATATGTTGTTAATTACCACAATCATGTTAGGATAGCAAAAGCCCAAAATGGTGGCTTTGAGTCAGTGGTTAGTGTCAGTGGTAATGACCTAAATGTTGGATTAACCACAGCTAAGGGAGCTCTTAAGGAGTTTAACTTGAATGTTGTGGAAATTTTTCAGTTTAATGTGAATGAGCCTTTATGTTTGTTGTTTCTTTTCTCTCCCTTTTTATACAGTCCCTTCCTAAAGTCAGTCTTACCTGTGAAGTCCAGTCCAGGAGGAGATATCCATTTTGGGAAGATTCACAGTGCCAGGGATATAAGCAATGGAGACAACCAGACTGTTGAATGCTACAGACACTCGCACTGTTTTGGTGCAACATCCAACTCAATTCTCCTCAGCCCGCTCTCACTGTGCATTTCTTTATTTGGTTTGAAGTACATGAGGCACAAACCTTGTCCCAGGTCACTATGGCTCCACCCCACCCTTCTTCCCCTACACCTGACTCCATGGGCAATTTAATGGCTTTGTGAATCGCCAGATGAAATTGCTTACAACTGAGGCCATCCAAGGAAGGCTGACTTGAAAGTGTCCATGGCCCAGTATCCTCCCTACCCTAAACCAAGTTGCTGGTTACAGTCAAATTATTTGTCACAACACAGAAGTGATGAGCAAGATAGGACTGCCCTGGTACACAGGTCCACACCTTCAGTTAAAGGCCCAGCAACAGAAGTAAAGGGAAGAGATTTCTGTGTTTAATAAGGATGAGGGAAAGAGAGAACAAATTCACTAGGCATCCCTCTCTCTGTGGTCTCTTGAGTGTACTGCCCCATTCCTCAGTCAGCTTGGGGTTGGGCTGCTCCACAGAACACATGGAAAGCTGATAATGATGCTTTCTGTCTGTCTGGGACAGATGCGAGCCCTTAAATCATCTTGCTGAAGTCTTTTCTGAGCTGTTGCATGATGCAAGACAAGAGGTACAGCTAGTATCTTCATAGTAAGGCAAGATGGGCTTATCCTTCACCTGCAAGTATCTTGTGTCCAGTTTTATAACCTCTTCAAGAGGTCCAGGGTTCCCCCCTTCAATCCAATGCAGCTAGCTCTTCCATTAGCTCCTCTTTCTCTCTCTGCAGCTCCTGAACCCGCTGTTTGTTCTGCTCCAGTCTGTCCTCCAGCCACTGCAGGAGGGGGCCACTTATGGCAGACATCTGACTGCAGAGATTTTTGGTGAACACTGGAAAAGACAAGACACATTCTATCTCAGCACAAGACCAAGTCTCTGGCTAAAAAAGACCGGGTTGACTGTCCCCCTTGACTGACTCAAACAGGTGTGGGGGACAGTCATTTACACACACAACTCAAATGGCAATTCATTCAAATTGGCCATGATTGTCCCAGGAAACAAGTGTTAATTCAGGTACTTCCCAGTGTTAACTTGGGTACAAATGGGACAGTAGGTTTGTACGTTTACAGGATCCCAAAATAAAGGGCTCTGTCCCAGGAAAAGTTCAATATCTGCTTTTGGGTCCTGTCACTGGGCTGCAGAATTCCAAAGCTCAAGGATACTGTGTAGAACCTAGAGATTTCACACCAGCATTTCATATTGAGAACCCACAGGACCCCAGAAGGAATGAGTTAAACAGAAACAACTAGGCATATAAAGTAGAGATATTTTACACCAAACCTTGTATCACTGATCATTCTTGAGGCAAACCAGAGACTACCGTTAAACATCTACTTGTACTTGCTTCTGTGAATGCAATGGAGGTTTTGTGCTAGCGTGACTGATGTGTTCAAGTGCCAGATCTAAGACAAAGCAGTGCTACAAGAACCTCTGCTGTACTAATGCTAGGTCAAATTCTAATGCTTTTAATTAACAGGATGAAGGTCCATAAGGAATCTGAAAAAGGCCACTGGCTTGTTCCACTTATGGCTAGGTTACATAAAAACACTTTCTTCCAGAAATGTTACTGTAATAATGCATTTCTCTACTCTGCCTCTGTAAACTCCATTAGAAAACCTGATAAAGATTTAAGGGAGATAAACAGTGCTAAGCAAGATGAAGAACTGAATAAGAACTATACAGCAAGGTCAAACTAGAGCAGCTAAACTTGGGTGAAGTAACCTGTTCATATGTTAGCTCAATCCCAAGCATCTCAAAGCAGTTACAGTATGATCCCTGGTGACTGTTACACACTGTGCGCTACTAACTTCCATTGATGGAACTAAAATCATTACTTAGGGCCTTAATACCCTAGTATTTCAAGTCATGGACCTACACATTCAGCATCTTTATTCCCTGAAGAGGAATTCTGGGGGTGGTGACATGGAGTGCAGCTAGGGTCCCTGCCCTGCTGCTGCCTCCAGCCTGGAACTTCTGTGAGGCCTCCACCCAGACAGGCCCCTTGGATGGGTTGGCAGTGCCCTGGCCCCGTGTCTGCAGGGGTTGCTTGGTGGGACCTCTGGGGCCTGCAGATTCCCTTGCCTGTCCCACATGTGCCCAGATTGAGGCCCCACAGGGGCAGGCGAGGGAACTCTAGGCAGAGGTGAGCAGGCTGCAAGGGATCAGGGCAATTGAAGAAGAGATTGATGGCTACTTTCATTCTCTGCAGGACAATGTGAAAGAGCATTATACATCTACCCTAATCAAAATGGGATCAGAGAAGGAGAAAGTTGAGGTATCGTGGGTTAAGATACATGGAGGTCAGGGGAAAAGAGACTTGGTGGTGGGGTCTGCTACAGACCACCACACCAAGAGGAAAAGCTAGACTTGGAATCCTTGAGGCAGCTCTCAGAGGCTGTACAGCTTAGGGATGTGGTTATCACAGGGGACCTAAACTATCCTGACATCTGCTGGGAGAAGGATTGGACGAATCCAACCATTCACGTAGGTTCTTAACCTGCATGCAGGACCTTCATCTAATGCAGGAGGTATACAGTCCCACTAGAGAGAATGCTCTACTGGACTTGGTGTTGGCCACAGGGGATGACTTGGTAGGGGAGCTGCAGATTCATGGTCACCTTGGAGGCAGTAACCATCAATCAAATGAATTCATCATATGGTGTAGGGTGGGAAAGATAACTAGTAGGGTGGAAGTGCTTGACTTTAGGAAGGCTAACTTCAGCGTGCTCAGTTTAGTTGCTCCTGCAAGATAATAATGCACTGCAGGATAAGAGTATTGGCGTGATGGCAGTCCAGGAAGGGTGGTTGTTCCTAAAGGAAGCAGTCCTTCGGGTGCAGAGGGAAACTATCCCAGTACGAGGGAAAAGGGGGAAAGGAGCCAAAAAACTTCCT